TTTCCAGGGTATACATCTGTCAAAATTATTTAATCTATACAGTATAACTGGGTGCAGTTTATTGTTTGTAAATTATACCTTGATTTTCAAAAATCAAAAAAAAGTTTCAAAAAAAGTTGATTTTCAAAAGTTGCCAAGATATTCTGAGGAAACAGATGCTCCTTGAGCAAGCAGATAATACCAAAATTATTTCATAGACTTGAGATGTACTCCAAGGCATCAATACAAGGGTTAAGTCAAAAGTATCGTTACAAAATCATAGAAGCCTTTACTAAACAAAAATATCAAAGCATAAAGATTTTTTTTCTTGATATATCCTCCAAGTCTATACACATCTGAAGGAGGTGTTTCCACTTGGTGTGGTACTGGTGGTTAAGGGGTGGGACTGCAAACTCAGTCTGAACCGCAAGGCTGGCAGTTCAAGCTCACCAGTTGCTCCTTGGAAACCTGTACAGGGTCAAGATGAGTTATAACCAACTCAATGGCACTTAACAACAACAACCCTTTCCCAAAGAATTATGTGTGGTTTTATATTGTTGTTGTTAAGTACCGTCGAGTCAGTTCCGACCCATAGCAACCCTGTATAGGGTTTCCGAGGAGTGGAGCAGCTGGTGAGCTTGAACGGCCGACCTTGAAGTTCAAACGGCTTTGCAGTCTGATGCATTAACCCACACCAGGACTCCTACACCAGGTCAAAACAGCAGTATGGCATCCTTTAGTGATTCAAATTGTGTTCCTTTTCAATGTTCTGAGTTTTGGGAACAAAAAGAAGTTTGAAGGGTCAAGATCAGGGCTGTACAATAAATGGAGTATGGGTTCCCAATTCTCGTAGGATAGCCCTTGGTACCCTCTAAAAATGAGCAGTTATATTGTTGTTATGAGGGGGAAAAAAAAATCTTCAATACCAACTCTTCTGGCCTTTTTCTCATTAATCAGTTTTAAGTTTTCTTAAAACTTCTTCATAATAAGCCCATGTGATCATCCTGTGTCCCTTAAAAAAAAATCTGTCATGGTTACCCCTTTGAAATCCAAAAAAAAACAGTAGTCATAACCTGAGCTGACCTCTTTGCCTTGAATTTAACTGGCTCAGCAGATTCTCTTGGAAGTCACTGTTTTGATTGAACCTTTCCTATGAAGCCATGCTAATGGGACTAATACATGTGTATTTCCAAGAGAACTTGACTATTGTTGTTGTTGTTATGTACTGTGGAGTCAGTTCCGACTCATAGTGACCCTGTACAGAGTTTCCGAGGCTGTAAATCTTTACTGGAGCAGAAAGCCTCATCTTTCTTCCATGGAGCAACTGGTAGTTTTGAACCACTATGCTTCCAGAGCTCCTTGAACTTGACTATGTTGTTGTTGTTATGTGCCGTGGAGTTGGTTCCGACTCATAGCAACCCTGTACAGGGTTTGCTATAGCTATCCATTAATCACAGAGACATATTTACACATGTTTTGTCTGGAATAAAACCATGCACATATGAACTGGAACCCTAGCAGCAATAGTTCTATACTTATCCGCATATATTGTTGACCTTGACAAATGAGGGGGTTGGAGGCACAGAGAGGACACCTCCCTGCACCCCACAACAGTAAAAATCTACATGTAACTTTGGACTCCCCTAAAACGTAACTACTAATAGCCTACTATTGACCAGAAGCTTTACTGATAATGTAAACTGTTGATTAACATATATTTTGTATGCTATATATACTGTATAAGGAGCTCTGTAGCACAGTGGTTACAAATCGGGCTGCTAATCTCAAGGTTTGAAACTACCAGCTGTCCCGTGGGAGAAAGATGAGGCTTTCTACTCCTGTAAAGATTTGAAGCCTTGGAAACTCTATGCAGGGTCACTATGAGATGGAACTGATTCCATGGTACCAACAACAACAACAATATACTATATACTGCATCCACATAAAAGCTGCATTTTCAGTAAGATAAAAAGTTATTTCTCCAAAAGTTAAAAAAAGGGCTTTTGCATCTACTGGCACAGCTGCAGCAACAGCTTCATGAATTTCCCCCCCAATGATCTGTACATTGGGTTTATTTATCTTCAAATGGTAGGCAATCACAGATGCAGGGCTCAGTCTATAGAACTCAAAAAGGAATTCAACATATTTTTTTATAATGTCATGACTTTTCTCTGCTTCTTGGAAGCACTTCCAGCATCGGCAGTGGCACTTTGTATTGGTCCCATGACATTAATCACGGTTTACAGTACTGCACTAGACACAAAAACTGGGAGAGACTACTTTTCACAGGTGTTGCACAGTAGGATAAGCACTAGACGACAAGTGCTTGAACTGCACGGTAGATGATTCAAACCCACCAGCCACTCCTTGGAAACTCTATCCAGGGTTGCTAAGAGTCAGCACCGAATGGATGGCACTTAATAACAACAGATGGCAGAAGAAAATACAGAAATATTCCTGTAACGGCTGAAGAACTGAACAGAAGGGAAATGCAAAGCAGGGACAGAAGACAAACAGAAAAGCATCCAATTACAATGAATTCAAAGGTGGGCATTTTTAACTGGAACTTTTAAGTAACAAATCTTTAGTTGTGCCTGGTATTTTGTAACTGTTTAATAGGTATTGACTAAATAAATGAGTTAGTGAAATGGAGGAAGTTTGGACTATCTCTGCAAGATAATATATTGTTGTTGTTGTTGCTAAATGTGGTCGAGTCCGTGGTGACCCTGTATACGGTTTCTGAGGAGCGGCTGGTGGGTATGAACTGCTGACCTTGTGGCTCAAACTGACCTTGAGGTACAGCGCATTATACTGCAGCACCAGTAGTAGGCAGGTTATTTGACTTTTCTGAAATTCAGTTTCGTCATGACGAAAAAAACGCTTGCCTAGGACAATCGCAGGAGTTCTGGTGTGGTTCTGTGGGATAAGCACTTGACTTCAAGATCAGTTTCAACCACAAGGTTGGTGGTTCAAATCCACCAGCTGCTCCTCAGAAACCCTATATAGGGTCACTATGAGTCAGAACCGACTCAATAGCACTTCACAACAACAACAGAGCAATTGCAATTGTGATTAAATGAGGTAAATCCATAAACAGAAATGCACAACTCTAGGCACATATCATATACTCCAAAATAGTTCCTTCTGAGCAGAAAAGATTCTTAGCTACAAATAAGGACAATTAAATTTACACCACAGGAGGTAAGGAGATGTGGGAGTGGTGGTGGTGGTGGTGGTGTGCCGTGGAGTTGGTTCTGACCCACAGCGACCCCGTATAAGGTTTCTGAGGCTGTAAATCTTTATGGGAGCAGAAAGCCTCATCTTTCTCCCACAAAACAGCTGGTAGTTTCAAACTGCTGACCTTGAGGTTAGCAGCCTCGATTACTATGCTACCAGAGCTCCTTAAGGAGATGTAAGGTATAAAATAAATGTTCAGTAATGTTTTCAGATTTAAAAAGGAGACTGTGATTTCTTTAGGGAATGACAGATTGAAGGAGAAGGGAAAGATTGTGTATCAGTTCCTAGAAAATAAATGCTGGTTTTGTGCTTCTTTAAAACTTGAAAAAGGAGCCCTGGTGGTGTCGTGGGTCATGTGTTGGACTGTTAACTGCAAGGTCAGCAGTTCAAATCCACCAGCCACTCCACAGGAGAAAGAAGAGGCTTTCTGCTCCTGGGTTTTATTTGGGTTTAAACTTGAAGGAATTTTTGAGGATAAACAGTAAATAGATTATTATTGGAAGAAAGTAGATAATTAGATGGATTATAAATTGTAATCCAGATGACAAAACCTTAAATGAAGATCAGTCTAACAAGAGGTGACACTGTTAGGTAGTAGGAGTTGGTAGAGTCCTGGGTGGTGTGACTGTCTGGGCCACTAATTGAAAGGTGGGAGGTCCACAGAGACATGCCTCAGAAGAAATTCCTGCAGATGTTCCCACAAAATCAGCCACTAAAAACCCTGTAGAGCACAGTTCTACTTTTGGTTGCTATGGGTCAGAATTCACTACAAGGCAACCGGAAAAGAGAAAAAAACAAAGAGTTGATGCTCAATGAGACCATGATGGGGGTCACACTAACACTTATCCCTTCCTTCCTGGAATACCATACTTACCAAACGTAAACAACAAACACAGGACAGATTCAAACATTTCAGGAAAAGATAATGGAATTTTTCTGTGAACTTTTTGAAGCCCCCTGGTATTTAGTTGCTTTACAGAGTATTTGTGCCTGATACGTTGTAGCTATTTAATATTTACTGACAAAATAATCGACTGCCTTCTTTCCTTCCATCTATCTATTCATCTATGTGTGTTTATGTATGTATCTATCTGTTCATCCATTCTCTGGTTTTCTTTCACCAAAAGATGATATAAATTTTACCTCCCAATTTCTAAGCTTTTACGGTCTTGTTGCTAAATTAGAAGTGATTTTCATCCTGGGATTCTCTTTATTCTTTTATCTTCTTGCTGTATAGCAGTAATTTTATAAAATTAAAACATTATATATTTAAATTATAGAATAAATAAAATCTTATTATAGAAAAAGCATTTAAGGTTCCTGTTGTCTGCCTCAGAGTATGAAGGTCTAAAGGATCTGGGCCATTTCAGGGTCACTGCAGGACAGAAGTGTTACTGTGTTTGTGACCAACATGGTTACCTTAAACAACACTTTAGGGAGCACATGACTGCAAGAGGACAATCAACTGGATGACATCCAACAACAATAATTTACAAGTCATATGGCCTTGAGCAAGTTACTAAACCTATTTAACTCTCCATAAGACAGGGATACAATAACACATAACTTAGAGGGCTTTGTGATGATGAAATGAGGTAATGAATTTATAACACCCAATCTGATGCACAGACAGGTAGTTATTGGCTTAGAAATGCCAGTTCCAAACAGTGACAAGAGATATGTTCGATTTATATAATTCATTCAAGTACCTGGAAAAAAAAATATTTTGAGGGGACAATGCAGAATATGTGTATTTTTATCTATAAGTGATAAGCAATACCTACAGCAGAAGTAGAGAGTCCAAGTATGTTTGAAGGATAAATTGTCCTCAGGAATTTTGCTCTACTGCCCAAAGGGCAGAGTCTTCTCAGATTCAAAAACATGCCTAAGGGACAAAAAGAAAATTTAGAAAGAGTAAATATATGCAAATACATGAACAGATGTTGTGCTGCCAAATACTGTTGAGTTAGTTCTGACAAATAGTCACAGTGACCCTATGTACAAATAGAGCAAAACACTGCCTGGTCTTGGGACATCCTCATAATCACTGCTGCTTGAGCCCACTGCTTGCAGCCACTGTGTAAATACATCTCATTGAGGCCTTTCTTCTTTTCACGGAGCCTCTATTTTACTATACATGGTGTCCTTCTACAGGCCCTGGTCCCTCCCTAATACCAGCATTGGCAATCCATGGTCTATTCAATATTCTTTGCCAACACCATAATTCAAAGGCATCAATTCTCCTTAGGTCATCCTTATTGACTGTCTAGCTTTCACATGCACAGAAGGTGACTAAAAATAAAATGGTTTGGGTTAGATGCACTTTAGTCCTCAAAGTGACGGTGTTGGGTTTTAACAAGTTAAAGAAAGATCTTTTATAGAAGATTTGCCAAATGCAGTGTCATTTGATTTCTTGATGGGTATTGATTGTGGATCCATATAAATGAAATCCTTGATAACTTCAATCTTTTGTTTATTATTGGCCCAGTTGTGAGGATTTCTATTTTATTTATGTTGAAGTATAGTCCATACAGGAGTCCTGGAGTGGCGCGGCAGGATAACATCTGGACTGCAAGGTCAGTTTGAGCTGCAAGGTTGGTGGTTCAAACCCACTGGCCACTCCTCGGACACCCTACACAGGGTTACTATGAGTTGGAACCAACTCAACACGCTTAACAACAACAATAATCCATACTAAAAGCTGTAGTCTATGATCCTCATCAGTAAGTGCTTTGCATTCTCTTCACTTGTAGAAGGCAAGGTGGCAGCCTTTGCATCCTCCAATCCTGATGCCATGTCCTTCTTCATATAGTTCAGTGTCTAGGATTATTTGCTCAGCACACAGATGGAAAAAGCATGATGAAAGGAAAGAATAGTGACTCATACCCTTCTTGAATTTAAACCATGCAATTTTCCCTTATTTTGTTCAATCTACTTACTGTCTTGATCAAATACCTATAGCTAATAAACCATTGTTGTTGTTGTTAAGTGCCATCAAGTCAGTTCCTACTCATAGAGACCCTGTATAGGGTTTGTAAGGTGTGCCTGCTGGGTTTAAACTGCTGGCTTTATGGTTAGCAGTCCAGTGCTTGCCTACAGTGCCTCACCAGAACCCTTGTTGTTGTTAGGTGGTCAAGTCAGTTCCAACTCACAGTGCCCTCATGTACAACAGAGTGAAACACTGCCTGGTTCTGCAACATCCCCACAATAGTTGCTAAGCTTGAATCTATTGCTGCTAACAATGTGCCAATTCATCTCATTGGGGTCTTTCTCTTTTTTGTTGACCCTCCACTTTACCAAGCATGATATCCTTCTTTAGGAACTGGTCCTTCTTGATAATCTGTCTGAAGTATAAGAGAAGATATCTTGCCAGGAGCTCTGGTAGTGTAGTGGTTACGAATCGG